ATGAATCAGCCAGAGGGTTTTGTTGATGCAAAGTTTCCCAATAGAGCGTGCAAGCTTGAGAAATCCATTTATGGATTGAAACAAGCATCTCGCAGATGGAATCTTTGCTTCCATGAGAAAGTCAAAGAGTTTGGTTTCTCTAGAAGTAAAGATGAGTTCTGTGTGTATATCAAGGCTAGTGGGAGTGTAGTAACTTTTCTGGTGTTATATGTCGATGACATATTACTCATTGGTAACGACGTTCCAACCTTGAAAGATGTTAAGTCTTGGCTTGGAAAGTGTTTTGCCATGAAAGACCTTGGAGAAGCTGCCTATATTCTTGGGATTAGAATATTGAGAGATAGAAAGAAGAGACTAATTGGACTTAGTCAGAGCACATACTTGGATAAGGTACTAAAGAGGTTTAGTATGGAAAATTCCAAGAAGGGAGAGCTACCTATCCAAAGCAATACCAAATTGAGTAAGACTCAATGCCCGAGTACAGATGAGGAAATAGCAAACATGAGTCGTGTACCTTATGCTTCCGCTGTCGGATCGATCATGTACGCTATGACATGTACTCGCCCTGATGTGGCATTTGCTTTGAGCATGGTCAGTCGCTATCAGGGAAACCCGGGTAGAGCTCATTGGATAGCGGTTAAGAATATACTCAAGTATTTGCAAAGGACAAAGGACTGGGTCCTTGTGCTTGGTGGCAATGATACTTTGAGAGTAGATTGTTACAATGATGCCAGCTTTCAGACGGATAGAGATAACTTCCGTTCTCAATCTGGCTGGGTATTTCTACTGAATGGAGGAGCAGTTACTTGGAAAAGTTCCAAGCAAGATACGGTGGCTGATTCTACTTGTGAATTAGAGTACATAGCAGCGAGTGAAGCGTCGAAAGAAGCAGCTTGGTTAAGGAACTTCATCGTAGATCTCGGAGTTGTTCCAACCATCCAGGAGCCTATGGAACTGTTCTGCGATAATGAGGGAGCGGTTGCCTTAACAAAGGAACCGAGAGATCATGGTAAAACCAGACATATCGACAGAAAGTACCATTTTATCAGACATAGAGTAGAAGAAGGCCTTCTTGTAGTAAAGAGGGTGTCATCTGAAGATAACCCAGCAGATCCCCTCACAAAGGGTCTGAGTAGGGCTAAGCATATTCAGCATGCTCGGAGCATAGGACTGAAAGATGATATTAGTTTTAGTAGTTAGATTAGTTTTGTTCTGAAACTTGTAACAAAGTAAATGTAATTGACTTTTGGTGATTAAATAATAAAGTATTATTTATAAGTTTGGTTACTGCCTTTTGTCGATTGTTTGTTATTGTGTTTCATATTTTGCATGTTTTACTTCCCGAATAATTTAATTATTCAAACTCCACAGTCGCTCGTACTTTTGGAAGTAAGTAGTGAATTAAGACTGTCATGAACTGGATTGTAGATTGTCTAAGGATAGACATGGCAATAGAATTGCTGCAACGTTCATGAGTACTCAGAAATTGAGATTTGAGTATTGGATAAACCCTCGCTCAAAGTATCACTTCATGGAATTCATCACGAGTAATACTGAGACGATAATATCTTATAATCTTGAAACGGAGAAATATGAGTTGTAATTTACAAGTCGGTCATGCATTGGTGATACGAAAACGCATCAGTAACTTGGTGTTATAAAACGTATTGTCGTGTATAATTTGATAAGTAAAAGATACAAGCATATGAGTCAAAGTTTATTCGTTCCTTTGCCCTAACGGAAAAGCGATATCTGTGGGCCCCTCGATGATTTGGTGTTGACTTATGTGTTGGGCCCAGCTAGGATTAAATTGATGTGTTCAATTAGAAGTCCTACATCATCACAAATCGGAAATCGGGAAACATAGATTCTGGATAAAGAGATTGATTACATTCCATGTCTTATGTCTGGGGATATCTTGCAGAACGAAGGATTATATGATCACTTATCTAAGGACACGTAACTGACTGGGTCAGAGTTCAGCAGCAGCTTTTGGAAGCTACAATTTGCTGGTCAAATTTAGAAGGCATACTAGCAATTATAGTTACAGACTTATCCAAGTGGGAGACTGTTGGATTAGGTGTCTAAGCCCATAACTATAATTGGTATGTACTTGAATTGATAGCAGCACAGTCCTTTCGGGTTGCCCTCAAACCTAGCAACTGGACAAGGAAATTATGAAAGGAAAGATATTGATTTATTATAAGATTAATGAATTAATATAAATGATTTATTAATATGTTAAAAGATTAATATATTAATTAGAAATCATTATGTTTAATTAATAGTTAGCCAGAAATTAATCAGAATTAATTTTGGGGTTAAAAGTATTAATTATAAAGTGCAGGGACTAGTTTGCAGTTATCTAATAGTTGAGTGGAAGGCTCCAGAACCTCCTTGGAAGGAGGTGGACGAAATCTATAGGGGAAACCTTAAGGATTTCGTCCAAGGGGCTTTGGATAAGGCCTTTGGATTAGCTTAGGCCCCAAGCAAAGGAGTATTAGGGTTTTCCCTAAACCCTAGATCCCTCAACTATATAAGGAGCCTCCCAGCTCCTAAAATCGGCCACTCCTACCTTGGAAGAAACCCTAGGCCGATTTTTGCATACCCTAGCCTCTCTCTCCTTATAAGTTTCCTTCTTGCTAGCTCTTGGGTGTGATTCCATTAGATGCATTACATTTGTGGTGCTAAGCTTCCAAGAAGATCAAGATCAAGAGGATTGTCAATTGTTTGCTATAACAATTGAAAGGTATGTAACTCTTAAACCCTAGTTTGTTAATTTCGAAATTAGCCTCTCTCCTATAGGGTTCTTGTTTTGCAATTTAAAGTTATATGTTCAATAGTTAAAACATAGATCCAAAGTAGGTTGCATGTGAACTTAGGAATTATTTTTCTAATTTATTTGTTTTACCTAAAACCCATCACTTTGACCAACTATTGAGTTCACCCTTCCATTTCTTCTATACTCTGGTGAAACTTGTGTAGGGACTCTGTCAAAGAGTATCAAGGACATATACCCTGCCAACTGTGTTTGATCATTAGCTTCATCTATTATTGGGGTTTTATCCTTTGCTGGTACTTGAGGTACATTTGCTTCTTTTGGAAGATCACCATCACAGAGCTCCTTAATAATAACCTTTTGCTTTCCTTTTGGAGACATAAAATAGGTCAGCAAATTAGTTTGTCCATGTTCTGTATACACTTCAATGACCTTGTTATCTCCAATATATTGAGCCAAATTCAAGACATCATTATCATTCCCTAAAGCTCTAAGACCAAAATCCAAGTATTCATGAGGAATCCTAAAATGGTAATATATTACTGGGGGTACAGAGTAACCTAGCTCTAGCATCATTGCGTCTAGTTCATGAACTGAGAACTCATCAATGTCTACTAAATCAATATATCGCACTTCACCTTTAACATATTTCGTGTTTGGAAGCTTGGTAAAATTTCCACCATGGTGTAGCTTTATGGTGAACATTGTTGGTACACGCTCTACAAGATACAAAAAACATTAAGTAAAAAATTATCAGATGTTTGTATTTTTGGCTCTGTTCTTCAGATCATCAAGAAACCCAACAAAATTTCGTAAACAGAGGAGAAGTGAAACTAACCATATTCATTTGTGATGTCATACGTCTTGCCTTTTGGCCTAATCGCCCACATTACGAACACCATTTACAGTTGAAAAGCAAAAACAAGTAAACACCTTGGACCAAATCTTGATTAGGGTTTTTGCGTTCAAAATGAATGATGAAGAAGATGGAAGTGTAAGAGATAACTAAATATGTTGTGTGTAATATGGCGCTAAGACGATAACAAGTGAGTTTATTTCAGGAATTGTAAAAATGGTCCCTCAAGTAAAAAGACATCTATGCCCTCGTGTGCAATGCATGTGAGGGGTTTAACAGCCACAAACAAACGGAAGTTAACTCCAAGGAATTGTTCCACAAACAAACCTCTCAATAAGGACCAGAAATCCAATTTTTATAAGGTTTGGACCATATCCACAAAAAATGACAAACTACAGGGACCATTTTTGCATTTTTGTCTTATTTAAATCAATGATTATAACTTTATATAATTAAAAAAATCTCTTAATTAATAATTTATTTAAAATAATTGATTAATAACTTTGAATTTTTAATATAAAAGTTTAATTAATTTTATAACTGTGGTTCTCACGGTTATAAACTAGTTATATTATATAAGCTTATAAAATGGTGGTCATGAAACTCTAAAAAATACATAGATAGGTTCACACACACCAACTATGATGCCTAAAATATAGTCTTTATATAAGCCTATAAAATGGTGTTCATGAACCTCTAAAAAATACACAGTAATGTTTTTATGATTGGAGTTGCTCTAATTAACCACCACTAGTGAGATAACTCTCATTTACCGATTCATACGAACATGATAAATTATCAAGGTCGTCGTTTATAGATTTCAAATGGAGACATGTGACCTTGAAACACTTCTCACAATTATCGGAGATAACTACACAAGTTTTTTTTTAAATGGTGATTTTCCATGAACATGTATTGCAAGAGATCAAGAGCAAATATATATCTTACCTGCATCCTGGCTCCTAAAAATTATATTAATTTTTGGCATGCCACAAAAAAATCCAATTTCTATACCTCAATTCACAATTTTAAACAAATTACAATGTCATATTTTGAGTGGGGGCTTAAAAATCAAACATTTACCCATTGCTAAATATTGATCAAATCACATGTATATTATGTATACTAGAACTATTCAAAATTAGCAAGTAATTTTTTTTTTTTTGTAACAGCAAAATTAGCAAGTAATGTAATTGGAGAGAATGAAAGATGAAACAAGTAATTTGTTAACAAAAGAGCTCTACAATTTCCACATCACAAGAAACATCAAGGTTCCAAATTTGACCAAACTATTAACAAAAAGACTACCAATTTAAAGCCTAACTTCCATGAAAATACATGTTAATGATACCTTGAAGCTCTTGTTCACAATTCTGGTGTACCCATTCTTTTAATCTTCTTGTTCTTCTTCTCCATAACTGTTTTTGCAAATGAATCCACCAGCTTCTGCTGTGATTCCAGGATCATTTCAGTTCTTTTCATCTCCATTTTCATTCGCATGGATTCAAGCTCTCTTGCCATGTCCATCTTCATCATCTCTATCTTCAGAAACCCATCTCCTAACTTCTGAATCGCTGCCACCATTCCATCCATCAGATGAGTCTCATCGTTTTCCATGTCCTTCCTCATCTTCATCCCTCCACCACCATCATGTTTTCTGTTCATCTCACTTCCAAAAGCTTCCTTCACAAACCCATCTCTCGATCGCTTACCTGGCCTGTAATGTGGGTTCACCGGCGGTGGGTAGTCATCAAAGGATGTATTAGGCGGAGTAACGGCGGCGATATTTGGGATTTTGATCCGAACGCCGTTCCCGTTTCTCTTTCCGGCAGTAACACCGTTACCGACTAAACCCTGATACCGTCGATTGAGAGGGAGAGTGACTGCTTGTTTGATTCTTTTAGGATACAAGAACAATTCGTCTTCATGATCTTCATCTACCTCATCTTCCTCTTGATTGATCGGATCTACAGATGGATCTGAAGAAGAAAGACCCAACTCCATCGCATCCATTTGTTTAAAGTGAACCCATGACGACGGATACCGGTGTCCCCTTGGTGTATTCGCAATTCGTTGGATCTCCGCCCGATAACGTTTCCTGAGCTTCTCCATCTTATGACGACACTGAATCGAGGTTTTCGGTGGGTCGCTTAACGGGCACCGGACGGCGACACCATCGGCGACTTCTTGCCAGTGGGGAGCACGAAGGTTACCTCGCTGAAGAGAGTACCACTTACCACGATACGCATCGATCAACGCCACCGTCTCATCGTGGGACCAGCAGGGAGGAGGCAAGCGGCGAGATGCCGCCGGTGGTTTGGCGGCGCGTGGATTTGTTTGTTCGTGAGAGGAAGAAGGTGAGTTGGAGCTGGCCATGGCGACAGAGACGATGATGAAAGAGTAAGACCCAATTCAGGAGTGAGAAATCGGAGAGAGGTGGTCGGTGGTCGGAGGTGGTGAGGGGAGGCATAATGAATTGTTGGGGTTAGGTTGGAGATGATAAAGGTAGGGTGGAGTGGGGGTGGGGGAGAGAGAGGCATGCGGCTGACCTGGGGATCTAACGGTGGGGTGGTGGGGGAGACTAACCTGCGCCGTGCTTAAAGTGCGCGATATGAGTAAATACAAAAGCTGAGGTGACGCCACCGGAAGACTTTATTGCTGCACCGGCTGAGCCGCCGGAAGTTGGGCGGCGGGCGGACCTCTTTTTGGGGGGTCGTTTTCTTTGTCCTTATCGAGATTAAATGTTTAGCCAAAAAGGAGCTGTAATTACTGAAAGTGGCTGACATCGTAGACAAACCATGTGGCGATGGTGGAGGATCAAGAACTATTCCGATTAAAGTTTTCTTAACCAAAACGCAACATTCTTTTAATGTGCGACAATAGCAAATGGAAAAAGCAAACTAATGGTTAAATTTTTTGTATGCTTTTAAGCTATTTAACATGTTATATTTATTATTTTTTAATCGGTGTGTGCAAAATTTATATAAAACAATAAATTTCGAAGTAAATTAGGGTGATATAACCCTTATTTTATAGGAAGTGTAATATGTAAATTTTATATTATGCAAGAATCATTTTTATAATTTTTTTAAGCAAGTTGACCATTTCTATGAAAAAATATATGCATAATGACCTATAATGACCTATTCTGCAAATTACAAGGACCCTTTTTGCAATTTATTTTATGTGTAGGACCTCAATTTAGTAAATTTGTTATCAGGAAGGGTGTTTTATGTAATTTTTTTGACAAAATTACATAAAGATCATAGGTTTACTAAATGTCACAACTTTAGGCATGCTAATTTTTTTTGACATGATTCATATGGTTTCTAAATTTTGCATTGTTGATCATTTTATTACAGATTTAATCTAAAATTACTATTATACCATTTTTCAATTTTATTCTCTTTTTTCTTTTATATAGTTTTATTTAGACAAAACTATAAGAATAGTCCATGTGGGTAGCTGAATATTTTCATTTTGGTCAAACAGATTTGGACTAGCACGATAAGTCTATTTTGTTGCGAGTTTGGTAGGTTAAAATGATTTTTTGCCTTTGATGTTTGTATTTTGGAAATATGACTTATTAAGGTAATTAACTTTTCAGTTTGTTCATATATGGGTAACTATATATTTTTTTTGTATACATCTATGTAACGAACTTTTTGGAAGTGTTTACATATGACCATTATGACCTGTTGTAGCAGGTTACATCCGGTCATATTGGTCATATGTGAACACTTTTAACAAATTCGTTACCTCGATGTGTAAAAAAAATAGTTATCCAAAAATGAACAAAACGAAAAGTACGAGTAAATTACACGAATGGTCCCTATGGTTTGGGGGAATTTATGTGTTTGGTCCCTAACTTATTTTTTTAACTCGGATCGTCCCTACTGTTTATTTTTGTTGCGTGTTTGGCCCATGTCTTACCTAAAAATACTATTGTGCCCTTATTAATTTATTTTTTAATTAATTTTCTTATCTGTGTATTTATTTTTTATATATTTCAAAATTTTAATAGACCCCACATATCTGTATCTCATCTTCCCCAACTTTTATTTCCTTTTCATCTTTAGTGACATCGACGTCTTCACCATCCATTCTTTTTTCGGTCCTTCAACTCCGGCGAATCACAATAAAATAAAACTTTTTTGCAACAAGCCCAAATCATAGAATGTTTACAAAATCATTGTTTTCAAAGTATTGTTCCATATCAGAGTATCACATAGATCAAAAGTACATAAAACAGAGGATGTGTATGGTCACGCCTTCGCCTTCCCGCGATCATTCGACGTACCTGAAACCACAACTAAAAACCTTAAGCCAAAGCTTAGTGAGTTCCCCCAAAGTACCAATACACAAACAGATAACATAGACAATAACAACATGTCGGGTCCAATCAACCATCAGGTTGGAATACCCCAGGTCCAATCAACCATCGAGTTGGAATAACACAATATTATGGGTCCAATCAACCATCGGGTTGGAATACCCCAGGCCCAATCAACATCTGGGTCCAATCATCCTCGTAATGGAATACCCCAGGTTGGACTGCCAGTATACAACGACTCCTATCATCCTCGGGATGGAATACCCTCGGGCCCAATCAACCATCGAGTTGGAATGCCCCGGTCTGTTGGCTCACCCACAAAGTAGTAAAGCCTCAACACCAACCAAATATGTTCACATATAACAGATAAACATATAATCAGTCTACAGACAATCATGCAGATCTATAAAACACTAAGCATATCATCATCTTATCCACCAAGATACCGATCTAACAGATCACTACGACATGATAACATACCCAAAATACCCTTAGGTCAAACTTGGCCAAAGTCAAAGTCAAATTGGTCAAATAAACTGAGTCACCCCAGCTGAGTCACCACAGAGTGAGTACGTTGGGCATACTCGAGTGTTGACCACCATCGGGGTGGTTGAACTCGTACTCCTAAAAGCCCAAAATCTCAATAAGAGCTTAATGGCTTAAGCTCTTACGTCCATCTTTCAGATCCATGGCTAAATACCCTCAAGAGTCATAAAGTTTCCAACTTTATGACTTTGCATGTCCATTAAGTGCTTAGCTCAACTTCTTAATCCATTAAGACCTTCTAAAATGATGCATGGAGCAAAACCAACCATTTGGAACCCATCTTTATGACTCAAGACCCTTCTAAAGGTCTGAAAGGACAACTTAACGGGTCAAGAACATGTTATGTTCATGAATCTCCACATTTGGGATAAAAAGGACCAAAAACCCATTCCAACACAAGATCTAAATGAAACTTCACCAAGTTCAGAACTTGATACCTCAAAATGGTGCCAAAAGGTGGTGTGATCCTGGATCCAAAGAGCTTCACTCCTCCAAGGTGGTCTCTCCTTCCTTCCTTTTTCTTCAAGAGCACAAAACACACACTCTCAAGCTTAGAAATGCTTCACTAGGAGGATTAGGGTTGCAAAAACGTCTCATGAGGATAGAGGCCCGATGAAATGAGGGGAAATGAGGCTATAATGGGTTTTAAATATGAACTAAACCCTAGAAATTAGGGTTTGCATGCCTGGCACGTACACCCTACGTACATATTTACATCCAACGTACTAGGGCGCGCCCTAGTACGCTCCGCGTACACACGTACGCATGGCGTACTCCCTCAACCCCCAATATTACGAAAATGCCACTAGGGCCTTAATTGCATACTTTCTACCTCACTTGGTCTAGACTTCATCCTCGAAGTTGGGGACGACGAATAACTCAGGATAATGCTCTTGTATTTTAGCCTCCGGTTCCAAGGTCCACTCAGAGCCTCTCCGATACTGCCACTGTATCTTTATCAAAGGTATATCCTTGTTGCGTAGGACCTTCATCTTCCTTTCCAGAATAGCCATTGGTCTCTCAACATAGTTCAGACACTCATCGACCTGAATACCATCCAACGGAACCACTACCTCATTGTCCAACACACATTACCGCAACTGAGAGACATGGAAAGTGTTGTGGATATGACTAAGCTCGTTCGGCAGATCCAACCTGTAAGCTACCTTGTCAACCCTGACAATCACCCGAAAAGGTCCAATATACCGGGGACCCAATTCCCCTTCTTCCTTAAACGTATCACACCCTTCCAGGGTGAGACCTTCAGGAGTACCATATCGCCGACCCTAAACTCCAACTCTAATCGGCGCCCGTCGGTATAGCTCTTCTACCGACTTTGAGCAGTTTGCAGTCTCTGCCTGATCTTCTGAAAAAGCTTTGTGGTCTGAAGGACTACTTCGGTCCTTCCTATGACCCTATGACTAACCTCTCCCCAACAAACTGGGGTACGACATATCCGATCATACAAGAGCTCAAATGGTAGGGCACCAATGTTGCAGTGATAATTGTTGTTATAGGAGAACTCTGCAAGAGGTAGGTAGGAATCCCAACTCCCACCAAAATCAATAACACAGGCTCGCAACATATCCTCAAGGGTTTGTATATTCTTCTCACTGTTAGGAATAAATCCGAGATGACGAATGCGGAATATCAAGAACAATCAAGAATCAATCACCATCACATGCAAGTAATCTGATAAAGGTTTTGTGTATATTGATTATGATATGAACGTACAAAGAAAACCATAATCAGGAAAAAGGTTGCATCAAAAGCTAACCTAATGATTATTTATAGAGAACATAAAATATTTACCAAAAATATAAAACCAATTCCTTAGAAGAGCTCGATGAAGAACTTCTACTGTAAAGGCACCGTAGGAAATCACAAAGCGATTAACCCTAAAAAGGCTTCCCTAAATAACCAACCATGTCAAATCAGTTTCAATATCTCAAATACTCACCACTCACTCTGGCCATCAGTCTGCGGATGATATGCAATGTTGAAATGTAACCTAATGCCCAGTTCCTCGTGGAACTACTGCCAGAAACGGGAAGTGAACCAAACATCCCGGTCTAAAATAATGGCGACCGGAACCCTATTATGAGCAACGATCTCCCGAACATACACACCGGCAAACTTTTCTGCCGAAGAGCTCTCCCGGATGTCCAAAAAGTGGGCATTCTTGGTCAATCGATCCACGATGACTGTCACACCCCCAAACCAGAACGGCAGAAACGTTCGGGGGCGGAGGACGTCATGTACAGTATCACAACAATTGCATAATAGTAATCAAAGTACAATAACCATTACATTGATAAAGTATAGTTTTACATTCGTGTTCAAATCAATGTATACTTGACACCAAAATGTATAGCAAAAGTTAAAAGACATGAGTCAATGAAGCTCCGTCTTCTCAAAACCTGTGGATACCTGTTTACTGATTTCTTAAGAATACAAGTAGTTTTGAAAAGAGTGTCAACAATTAAGTTGGTGAGTT